TCTAGACTTGAGATGGTGTTACATCCCCAATAAACCTATGGTAAGTTGAAAATAAGCTGAAAATGAATTTAACACACACTACCTACCACACATCATAGCTTAACTGAACCTACCTTAAACATGCTCAGAACACTTACATTAGCCCACAGTTGGGCAAAATCCTCTAACACAAAGCCTACTTTATAACAGAGTGTTGGATAGCTCATGTAATTCATTGAATACTGTACTGAAAGTGAAAAACAGATGGTTATCTGGGTACAGAATGGCTGGAGGTGTCTCCATTGTTTGCCCTCCAGGTTGCAGTGCTGACTGGGAGCTGTGGCTGGCAGACGCCGCCCAGCATCACAAGAGTATCGCACAGCATGTCCCTAGCATAAGAAAAGATCAAAATTCAAAACTTGGAGTTCGGTTTCTACTGAATTCATATTGCTTTCACACCGTTGTAAAGTTGCAAAATCGTAAGCTGAATCTTCGTAAGTCAGGGACAGTGTGTATTTGTTTTCCCTAAAAAGAAAGAAATTAAGCTTTATTATTTAACATACACAGTGACACTGGCATGCTCACACAGTCCTTTGTCATTGCTCTGTAAGGTATCCTGGGAAGGGTACTTTAATAGATATAGCCAACAACGGTGCATTTCTTCCATTTAAATCTAAATATCTTTTTGAAGTATCTTCTTCAGTTGTGATAGATATCAAAATGTAGTATTAGAATAATCTAATCTTAGAACCAGATCTGCAGATCGCTATGTCACAAAGTGTTAAACCAAGATTTTTAAAAATAACGTACCAAGTAACAGACCATCAAGTGAAAGCAAAAAGGCTCTTATACTCTTAATAAAATACGATTAAATTATTTTAAATATACTGATTATTTCATATTTTTAAATTTGGGTTGGATATTTTACAAACAGGTCACAGGTACATAATTTATATTCTGGGTGTGCATGCAGAAACATTCTTAAGGGCAGGGTGCATATTCAAAAGCACCATGTTGGTTAACGTCCACCAACCCTATTCCTTGGTTTGGTGTCATCTAAGAATTTAATGCCTTTTGTTCTCTTCCTTCTTTATTCAGCAACTATTTGTTGAGTGCCTCATGTGTGTCAGGTACTGTGCTAGGCTCAGGGAGGTAGCAACTGAAAATATAATCCCACCCACATCAGTAGTTTAAATCATTTACGAAACATATACAAGGAACAATTACTACAGCTAAACTCCTCAGTATCACCTGCTTCTCAACTTCTTCCCCTACTTCCAAATCTGGTCTTTACATAGTTAATGACCCGCTGCAGGTTGGGATTTGAATTGAAAATGGTCATCTGCATACCCACCTAGTTTTTATGTAGTTTAAGTAAACCGTTTATCATTTACTTTCTCTTCTAGATATCTGCAAGGTGCTTTTAATGCAATCTTCTGTAAACATCAATATTACTAATTCAACAAGCACTTCCTCTGCAAAGCACTGTGTTAAGACAGAGGGAAGTTCCAAGGTACAAGAACATAAAGTACTTTCAAGGGGATTTTATATCCTTGTTATAAGATGAGAAAAACCCCTTAAGTTTTTCCTTCTGCAGTGTGGATTGCCTTCATATTGAATGTGTTCCTCAGTATACTGTATTTTTAACTATCTTACCACTTTTGTCTTGTGTTGTTTCTTCAAGCCTAGGACCATCTGTTTGAAAGTTTTACAGGCATGTTATTTGGCTTCAACTATGTCTTCTAAATTTCATCTCGTTACTTGTAATTTTAACCCATCATTTGGATAAATTATTTTTAATTGCTACTTACTAGCAGTGGAGAACAAGCATATGAAAAACAGGTAGAGGAAAATACTTCTGGAAACAAAGATCACAGAAATTAAAATTCCATACATGCCTAAAATGGGATCCTATACCAGTTCCCTAAATAGCAAGAAAATGCGGTGATTTGAGGTATTTAGGGCAAGAAACTGGATCACATGACTTCCTGGGTCTTGTTTACTTTTAAACCCTGCAAATAAGCAAAGCCCAAAGCTCATAGCCTTTGGAGGAATTTAGACCCAATTTGGCTTTTTAAGAAGCAAGCAGTATTAACAGTTCACAAACTTTGGGCATGGTACAAAAAGTCAAAATTAGTTACAAAAGTCTGTGATAATTTAGAAAATGTAAGCCACACATAAAGGCAATAAAGAGACAATATCTTTGAGTTTTAACTGGTATATATTCCTTAGGTTATCCCTCTGGCAACCCCCCCCCCCAATGTTCACTATATAACCATTTTCTTAGAAAATAGAAAGAAAAATACAATTTGGACAAATCTCAGTACAGTGTAGTGATTAAGGACATGGCTTTAAAGGAAAAAAGCCCTGGGTTTGAATCTCTCTCTGCTGCTTACCAACTCTGGACCCAGGTACACTGCCTAACTCCCCAGCCTCAGTTTTTTTTTCCATTCAGAAAAGTAGTGCCTACTTAATAAAGTTATCGCGAGGATTAAGTGAGATAATCACACAGTAGAAACACAATACTTGGTAAAATTTTAAGTTTTACATATATATATATATATATATATATATACACACATACACACACACACATACACACACATACAGTTGGCCCTTGAACAACATGGGGGTTAGGGGCACTGACTCCAGCTGAAAATCTGTGGGTAACTTTTAGTCAGCCCTTCGTATGAACAATTCTGCATCCATGGATTCAACCAACTGCAGATCGAGTATCAGCTATGTATTTACTAAAAAAGATCTGCATATAAGTGGACCCATGTTGTTCAAGGATCAACTGTAAATATGTATATAAATTACATCTATATTACATATATAAGATACATACCCATTTGTATAGGCAGAATGACTGTCCCCCCTCAAAGCTGTCCACATCCTAGCCCCACAACCTGTGAATATGTTACATTACATGGCAAAGAATTAAGGCTACAGATCAGCTGACCTTAAGATAGGAAGAATGTCCTGGATTTTCTAGGTAGGTCCAGTGTAATCACAAGGGTCCTTAACAGTGGAAGAGGGAGGCAACAGAAGAGTCAGAGATAAGAGACGTGACTATGGAAAAATGGTCAGAGATGCAACAACGCTGGCTTTAAAGGTGGAGAAAGCCAAGAGCCAAGGAACATGGGTGGCCTCTAGAAGCTGGAAAAGACAAGGAAATGCATCCATTTCCAGAGTCGTCAAAAAAAGAGTACAGCCCTACTGACACGTTGATTTTAGCCCAGTAACACCAATGTCAGACTTCTAACCTACAGAGCTATAAGATAATTCATTTCTGTTGTTTTGTCTCTACGTTTGTAGTAATTTGTTACAGCAGCAGATAGAAAACAAATTTGATACTTAGATATATCAGAAGCCCTACAAAAGAGGCAGGTAAGTGTGGACATATGGAGAACTAGCTTTTTTTCCCACCAGTTTTGGAAACCATGCTAACTCAGAAACTTTTTCATATTTGTTCTCTTTATACAACTAATTGCAAGAGTCTGATTTACCATACCGCCTGATTATCCTCCAAGCAATAGGAGAGCTATTGGCCAATAGCTTAACCCAGATGGTTCTTGATGATGGCTGCTGACAACTGTAGGAAAAAAAACGTTTATTTGAGTAATCTCTCATTTCTTGTGATTTTCTCTTTGGGTCTAGACACCTAGTGTATCGTACAAATTAGTTACAAGTTGATGGTGACACAGGAGTAGTCCTGTCACCTCCCTGAGAGGTGAAGACAGAGGTTGTCAGTGGAGGCAATCATTGACTGCTGCTTCTCAGTTCTTTCAGAAGCACAATATATACACATCATCTTTAATCCTCCTAACAATGCCATTATTCCCATTTTACAGAAAAAGAAACAGGAATTCAAAGAGCTCACCCAGTGGGAAAGTGGCAGAGCTAAGTCCATTTGATTTGAAGCCCATGATACTTCTAGAGCACCAAAGAGCCTTCAGTGTCACTAACTGAATACAGCACAAGTGAGGGGATGTTGCTTTTGAGATGAGGTTATAAAAAGACTGTGGCTTCTGTCTTATGCACCTTCTTATGTTCTCTCACTCACTCACTCATTCTAAGGGAAGAGAGCTGCCATATTGTGAGCTGCCTTCTAGAGAGACCTGCATGAGAAGGGTATCTTCGGCCAACAGTCAGCAAGGACCTGAGGCCCACCAACAGCCAGGTGAGTGAACTTGGAAGCAGAATCTCCCCCACTGAAGCCTGAAGATGACTTCAGCCCTGGCCAGCACCTTGACTATAGTCTTGTCAGAGACCCTGCACCAGGGCGCCCAGCTAAGCTGTGCCCAGATTCCTAATCCATAGAAACTGTCAGAAAATAAGTGATTGTTGTTTTAAGCCTCTATGATTTGGAATAAGTTAAGTAGTAACAGATAAGTAATACAAGCAGCCAGGGCCTGGCAGTCCTGGCATACTGAGCATGACATGCAGGGCCGTGAGAGACCCATCCATAACCATCTCCCAACAACAGGTAAAGCGACAACCCCAGGTCAGCAATGCCATCTCCCCAGAAAAGGGCTGGCATGCCTAGTGCCTAGTATGTAGGAAAGAGCCAGATACTGAGATTGGAAACTAGAATTTGGAAGGAAGCCCATAGCTGGAACTAGCCTTACCAATCTTAGAGCTATTTGTGAAAATTTTTGCTTGCTTGAGGACATAATGCAGGGTAGAAAAAAGTGGTTTCTGCTTTGTGCATGTAGTGAGAAACAAGGTAGAGAGGAATCCTTTTAGAGTCAAATGCTGAAATGCCTGCACTACATTCAGTGAACCAGATTATCTAGTTGTATATTACTCCCTCTACTTGTTTGCCTTTTGTTCTTCTGGAGCCCTTTGTAAACTTCTGTTTAAATATTTTCCCTGGTCTTTTCTGTACTCTAGGGAATTATGAGAGGCAAATGCTTGAGCCACAGAATTAAAGAGGAAATAGTGCCCCCTGGAGGCCAGAGTGGCAATGCTCAGAGACCCAAAGATGCAGGAGAAGCTGCGGGAGGCAAGGAGGATGGCAAGAATCTTAAGAAATGCTAGGAAAATATATGATATGATTTTAAAATCTCCTTGATTTAAAGCCTTTGAGAAATTCACATGAAAATTTTGTAACTATGTGTGGTGATGGATGTTAGACTTATTGTGATCATTTCATAATGTATACAAATGTGGAATTGTTATATACCTGAAACTAGTATCATGTTATATGCTAATTATATCTCAATTAAAAAACTCATTCTAAATAACAAAAAAAATTTTTTTTCAAAGAGAAATTGGTATGGAAGGCTTTTGTCCTAACACAATAAAGAGCTTTTTGTTTGTTGTTGTTTTGCAAAGAGAGAGTCAATTTTTTTTTTATTAAAAATTATTCCTGGGTCAAACACAACTGAAACTGTGAACTCCATGAGTGCAGAGACAATATCTTTTCATCTGTATCCTGGTCATCAAATATAGTGCCTGATGTACAACAAGTTCTCAGTAAACGTGTGCTGAATGAATGATGAACCAACATGTGACTCAGCTCCTTGTCCATTATTCCTCGAATATTACCTGACAACGTTAACCTCATTGTTAGTGCATTTTGGTTTGGTTTAAGTTGCTTTTGCTACTTTACAACTACAAATCTTCCCTATTTTAAGACTACATAAGGAGGAAACATCAACATTTTCCGGGCATTTGGGTGCCAATTCAATTAAACAAACCATTTATTGAGTTCTTACTATCTCAAAAAAAATTCTATAAAGATAAATAAGATATGATCCCTGCTCTTGAGATATTTATATTTCAGTGGAGGGTATATACTTGCATACAGTAAATATAATACAAGGCAGGATATGATAAATCCAAAGAGCCATAGTAACATAAGGAAAAGAGTGACAAATGATCAGTGGACCATGGGAAAGATCATCCACTGACCACCCTTCATCCTGGACAGCAGGTCAAGGCTCCAGCCCTTTTCCATGGCTAGTGTCTGTCTGGTCTGGTCCTCTATAGACATATCTATTATAGGGACCAAGAGTGCAGCTGAAACCACAGTAGCTGGCTGGTTGAGGATTCAAGGATCCTGGTTCTCAACCCTCTGTCTCTTTCATCTTAAAATAACTAACATGTATCTCTGTCAAACGTCTCCTAGTTTACAGCCTGATCCAGAAGACGTACCCAGAATTACTCAAGCTACACTTTAAATTCAGTTTTACATTATTATCCCTGAGTCTCTATAAATTAAGTATGGTATGTTCATTTTACCTGAGAAAACTATAGCTCAGAAAAGTTGACTGGTTTTCTCAAAAATGCAAGTGGCAGAGCCAGGAATATGTGAGCACAGGTTCAAAGAAGACACTGCCTTCTGTTTTGCAAGGGTGAAATAACATGAAACATCCAGTTTTCTATAAACATGGTGTATGCTCAATTTGGAATTACACCTTTCCTTTGAATCTTCAAACTATTAGATGATTCAAAACGATTAGCATGAGATGGATATTAAAAAATTCCTTTAACTTTAAATTTGCAATAATATTTTTGCAATATAACCTGTTTTGCAATATAACTTGGCAATAAAGTCAAAAGAACCAGTGATCGAACTCTAGTTTCTGCAGGTAATAACTTCTCAGCTTCATTGACAACAGAGGCTAATTATAGCAAAGAAATCAAAGTCATCCTTCTCACAAAGCCCAACACTGAGGTGAAGAAAACATGCATTGTCTGGTCACTGCATCTTCTGTGCATCCTTAAAGTGAAAACAAATTTGGCTTTTACTGATGCTACCTCCAGTTCAACTATTTATAATTTTCTGATTTCTGAAGGAGAGAAGACTGAGATTAGCAAACTGAAGCATTATCTTAATTGTTTTTAAAAAATGTTTCAGAAACGGTGCTATTTTCAGATTCTGTTAATAACAGCAGACAAATCACAGTGAATAAGCAGGTCAAGAACCTGAGAAGGCTGAATGATGAAATTAAAATAGTAAGCACACGCACTTTTATTTAACAGCCTGCATATGCGTGCCAAGCGTGGTGAGTGTTTATGGCTCACTGGACTAGACTATATGCCAGACACATCAAAGAACATTCCAGAGAGATGGGCTGACTTACTAGAAATTGAAAGGCTCAAACCCCACATTTTGTCCTTTTTTTTTAAAAAAAAAAGGTATGTTTTTATTATGAAATATTTAGACATTTTACAGGACAACAAATCCAGTTTCTACAAGTCAGTGACACAAATTAAAAAAAAAAAAAAGAAACAAAGAAAAAAAGGAGGGAAAAAAAGCAGTGCCCTGGATTAAAAGAGACTTAAAAGATCTAAGAACCAAATAGATCTTGTGTGGATCTTATTTAGATTCTGATTTGAACAAACCAACTATAAAAAGACATTTTTGAGACATCAAAGAAATTTGGCTACAGAATTGGTATAGATGTCAGCAATGAATTTTTACGCTTTATGAATATGGCTTTGTGGTATGTGAGAAAACATTTATATTTTAGAGTTGGAGCCTTAATATATGAAGGATCCAAACTGCATACTTGGGATTTGCTTTTAAATATTTCAGCAAAGGAAGAAAAAAAAAAGTAACAGGTGAAGCAAATGTCAGCAGACTTAATATTCATTGAGTAACTGGGTAATTCCCAAGGTAATGGGAATTTTTTGTGCTCTTCTCTTTTTATGGAAGTTTAAAATTTTTAAGATAAAAAATCTTTACAAAATACCTACAAATTTTAATTTGGGAGTAGGGTTATGGTTATAATTCTAGACCTTGCAGACCTGTGAAGGATCTATGCTGATTACTGCAAACTGTATAAACAATTCTTTCCAGGTCAAGTTAGTCTGTTTTATTTACCATAGTGGTTTTCAAACTCTCTGACGAGAGGGAAACATACTGTGAGGTCACAGAAACCTTTGTTTGCCAAAGTTGCCCTGAATGGTACCCCTGCCTCCATGGTTTTCTCTAGTCATTCTCCACCCAGTAGCTAGAGTTATGCTTAAAACCGTAAACGCAGGCATCTCACTCTCTGCTTAAAACCCAATCCAATGGATTCCAACTCCTGGAATAAGATCAAAAGCTCAACATGGCTCATCCAGGCCTACGAGAGCCGGTCCCTATACGTCTCTCCTGCTTCTTCTTGGCCACTTACCTGCACTATGTTCCTGCCTCACTGGCTTCTGTTAGCCCTTCAGAGGCCAAGGTCTGTCCTGGCCCATGACCTTCCCAGATCTGGTCACTCCTCTTGGAACATCCTCCCCAACCCACTGTTTTCTCCCTTATAGAAGCAGTTCTTTTCTCTTTTAATAATTTTCATTGTTCATTTCAGTTTATCATTTTCACATTTGTTTTTCCCACTTTTCTATATGTGTATCCTATTCACAGCCAACAACATTAAATTTTTGTTGAATTACCTAAGAAATATTTTTACCAAGCTTCCAATCCCGTAAGTATCATAATGAATACTGAAATTTAATTTTGGAATCCTGGAAAAAGGGAATTTGGTGACTATTATCTTAAACTTCAGAGGAATTAGGGTTGAGGGGCCATGGGGAGTTTGAGAGGAAAAATATCAGACTATAGCAAGTGATGGTTACAGAGCAAAACCTTACACAGGGGAGATACTGATGCCACTGGGGTTGCTGGTGTTTGAATTCATGAACTTCCCTCTCCCTCTGATACTGTCTCCGCGCAGCCAGCGCCCAAACTTCCATCGTCGGTCTCTCCTGTGCAGTGAAGCGCATCCCTCACCGACGGGGCAGATCAGGGCATGGGATCCAGACAACTGACCAGAATCTCTCACTTCCATGCCAGGGAGCAAAGGTTGGCAGAATACAGGCAAAAATGTACCGCTCCACAATCACAGGGAGATTTTAATACTTCTCCAAAAATTGAGAGCTCATACACATACAATGTGAACAAGGCTGTTTAAAAATATGAGCTAGAGGGGCAAGATAGGGTAGGGGATTAAGAGGTACAAACTAATATGCATAAAATAAATAAGCTGCAAGGACATAGTGTACATCACAGAGAATATAGCCAATATTTTATAATAACTTTAAATGGAGTATAATCTATAAAAATATTGAATCTATGTTGTACACCTGAAACTAATGTAATATTGTAAACCAGCTATATTTCAATAACCAAGAAATACAAGCTAGTGGACTTTATATATAACTGTACAACCATATGATTATTTTTATTTTTTTTTAAGGTTTCGTGTGTGTGTGTGAGAGGGAGGTAATTAGGTTTACTTATTTTTAGAGGAGGTACTGGGGACTGAACCCAGGACCTTGTGCATGCTAAGCATGCACTCTATCACTTGAGCTATACTCTCCCCACATGATTATTTTTAAAATTTAACACTACATGATGCTTATGATGTGCCAGGCACTGTTGTAAGTGATTTACAGCTATGGGCTCATTTAAAGAATTAAAAGAGTACACATTTTTTCTCAGGTAATATGGAACATCTGTAAAAGTGATCATTTTCTAGATTACAAGTCTCAACAAATAAAAATTCAGTATCTATAAATCTAACCATATAGTAAAAGGACAAAAATATGTCAGACAGCAGGTTCCCTGACAAAGGAAGGAAAGGAGGGGTGGGTGAGGAGGGGAAGCTTTAACTCTACCTAAATGTTTTATTTCAGAGAAAGGAAGGAAGGAAGGAAGGAGAGGGTGGGAGGGAAATTTACCTTAAATGGCTCAGAGAAAAAATGTGCATGTATAATATAGAGAGACAAGGATGAGCAAATGGGGTAAAATATTAACACTCGGGAAACTGGGAAGGGTGTACAGGAATTCTTTGTAATATTCTTCCAGTTTTTCTAAAAGTCTGAAATTAAGTCAAAATTTCAAAAAAGTCATTGCAATTATGGCAATCTCAACTTACTGGTAAATGAGTGTCACATCACCTTCTTTGCATAATTTCATAATTAAAAGATAAAAAAACATTAAATCAAGCACAGCAAATTGTTTATGGGAGGAACCCCTTTCGTCAGAAGAGATGAGACTTTATTCACCCACAGAAGGCCACCTCTGAGCAAACTGAGACACGGTGCTCTCAGGGGCTCTGTAAGTGGAGGGGTGGGGACCTTGGGCCCCACTCTCCCTTGGAGCTGGTGGCTCCGTGCAGGGAATGAGCTACCTGATGCTTCAGCCCTGACTCCACATCCTACTTTGCTACAGTTGGCCGTTTTTCTCTATGACAGGGTAAATAAACAAATAAACACTGAAACACACCTAAAATTTGTCTACTCATTATTCAGTTTATGTGCATGTATGCCACAGTCATTCAGCTGGTATTTATGGGATGCTACCATAAACAAAGCATTGTACTTTATATAGTAGGAAAGTATAAAAACAAATACAAGATATGGCAAATGCTCACCCCAAAACCACAATCTGACGGGAAGGAAAAGCATGAGGGCTTGTGCGTGCCAGAGGTCCAGGGTCCACTTTCATTTTTGCTGGCTCGTTTCATTTTCATACCAGTTCTGCGAAGATTTCATTATTCCTATTTTATAGATGATGAAGCCCAGAGAAGTTATTAACCAGCTCCAAATTGCACAACTAAGTGACAAATCCAAGAGTTTACCTTGGGTCTGTGTGACTCCAAAGTCCACGCTCTTTCCACATCATCATGTTTATAAAAGTCACAAAAACATAAATACTGTAAAATTTCACTTACTTATCACTCCTGGGGATGAGTCATGCTGGCCAGATGAGTAAGTGAACGGCCATCCTCTAGGACAAAGAGCACTGTTCAAAACCTTCCAAGGATAGAGCAGAGAATGCTCCAGAAGCCCCAGGGGAGGAAGCTTTTTCTCCCTGTGTTTCTTTGCCCTCTTGGGCTTCTGGCATTTGAAGCTCAGCATACCTGATGTCTAACAGACCAGGTTCTTTCTGAAAGCTCCAGCAGGAGGTGGCCCCAGGTTCCTTTTGCCTTTCTGATTCCTCAAAGCACAAATGAGATAGATTGATAATTCAGAAGTTATTTTAGGACATACTAAGGGAGAACAAAAAGAGGAATATCAACCAGTATAAAAACAATTGGATTTCTGAAGGACAGTTTTCTGATACCAGATTGAGCACTACATGCCCCCAACCCCAGTCCTGAAAGTTAAAACACTGCGTCTTGGTCCAAAAGGGTGGTGACCCTGCTGGCCTGCTTCTCATCTCATTCTCAGCATTTTTCTATCTCCTAACCAGCTGGCTTTCAGTATTTATCTTGCTCTTTGTCCTAGAATTGGGTCTAATTATTCATTCTACACAAGAAATATGTAACCTCCCTGAATTTTAGATTCCTCATCTGTATAAAATGGGAATAAAAATATCTAACTCATAGAGGTCAAATGGGGGAGATCATGCAGGTATAGGGCACATAGTAAGTGCTATTAAGTTACCTTTCTTTTCTTCCTTCTCTGCATGTGCGCATCATCACCACCACCTTCATCATCCTTACAGTAATTATAGCTAATGGTTGAGCATTTACTATGACCCTGGCACTGTTCTAAATACTTTACGTGCATTGACCACTTAAATCCACACCATAATCTTAGGAGGTAGGTACATGACCACCTTCATTTTATGAAGACATCAAGGCACCAGGAGGTCCCAAGTTCAAAAGCTGGGACTCAGTCTAGCCAGTCGGCCTCCAAAGCCCGCACTTCTGATCACCATGCTACACCTCATACACAGTGTACCCTGCTGTGCTGAAAGTTAGTCATTTAGACCTACATGGACCTCTCCACTCAGGCTGCCTTTCTGGTCCGTCTCCATCCCCAACCAGGGCCCATAAGCTGACACTGGGGCAAGAAGAGGCAGAATTGAGGGAACCTTAGAAAAGAGCCTACAAGTATCTCCAATCACATACAGAGGTGTAATTTATGATTAAAGGGGCAGCTACTACATAATGTTCAGCCCGGTTTTAATTCTTAGAGCAGGCATTTAATACTTCCAAAATCAATAAAGAACATGTACAAAGGTCAATTCCTTTGGGGGAAAAATTACCAAGCGTAAGTACCTTCCAAAGTTAGGAAGAAGGGATTGCATTTAGGGGTTTTTTTTTGTTTGTTGTTTATTTTAAGGTCAGTTAGACTGCATTAAAACAATAACTTATCAGTAAATATTTTCCCTTATCATTAGGACAGTGATTAAGAATGAGGGTTAAGAGCAGACACAGGTTGAATTCTAGCAACACTGCTTTACTAGCTGTTGGAACTTTACTCAACTTCTGTGTTTTCTCATCTATAAATGGGAAAGATACCTATCACCTAGGGATATTGTTAGGCTCAAGTAAGACAGTATAATTCAGGTGCACAGTACAGTGCCAGATGCATCAAAGCACTCAATAAAATACTTCTCTTTTTGCAACATCATTGTAATGGCTGAAGAATATCGTATCTCATGGCTGTGCCAGGCTTCATTTAACCAATCTCACACTGTTAAACATCTGGATCATTTTCAAAACTATCAATAATATAAACAATAGCAAAAATTTCCTATACATTTCTGGTTATATCTTTAGGGTTAAATCCTGTAGGGGATTTGATGGGTCAAAGAATATCAACCTTGTAAACTTGTGACATACACTATCAAATTATTGATCAACATATAGTTTTACCAAGTTAATCATCTCCATATTGAAGGTATCTAGTCAACTCTTGCCAATAATAGACATTATTTGAAAGAAATACGCCAGTATTGTGGGACTCTCTCTTATTTATTAGATGTTTCAATTTCTTCTTTTGTTATATTATAAAGCTCTTAGGCTCTATAAATTAATGAAAGCATAAGATTGGCAGAAAAATAGAAAAATAATTGGAATGGGTAAAAATTTTAATGTAGCATATTATAGACGTGGCATTTCAAGTCATTTATGAGGGGATGAATTTTTCCAGTGGTTTTCAAAGTGCTCCCTGGAGCCTCCTCTATAGGGAGGCTGGGAATGGGGATAAGGAGTGTTGCCAGGTTAGCATAATTCTCATCCTTCCCCATTTCAACCACATTTACCTGTTTTACATATTGAGCTTATTGGTAAGTTGATCTGAAGGGTTCTGGACCTGAAAACAAAACCCAAAACACATTTAATGCAAAGTTTGGGGACAACTGGCATTTTGCAATATAAAAGAAATAGATAAATAAGTTGAATCTCTTCCTCACATCATATACACAAATACTTATCAGCTGATTAAAACATTAAATGCAAAAAAAACCTCCATCTACTACCACAAAACACGGGCAAACAGTAACTCTTTTCAAGTACACTGATAAAAGTAGATCATACCAAGAGGCAGTACCTGTCTCTGTTGGTTTTTCCTAAAGTGTGTGCCTATGACATAGATTCAAAATGGTTCTGTAGCCAAGGAAGTGTAGAAATGCTGCATATCAATTATTAGGGCAAAGGAGCTCTAAGGGCACTAACACCCTCCTTATTGCTAGCAGCATCTCCAGAGCATTCCAAAATACGCACTCTAAATAAAACAAAACAAAAAGCAAATAAATAAAACAATGTGCAAAGTAAACAAATGTAACTGAAGGATAGATCCTAGTATCCTGTGCTTCAGGCAGACTCTGGACAGTAAACCCTTCCTCTCTCTCGATATTCTGAGGCCATCACTCCTGCTCTTTGGAAAGAGTCACATTATCATCAGCCTAGAAAGAAAGGCTCTGAGAAGTCCTACAGTGGAAAAAGAAAACGAACTTAGTTTATTCAACATTTCCTAAGTTTATTTCTCTGTAGAACTCTTGCCTCAACATGACAATTTATGGAACACACCTTAGCAAATGCCAGGCTATATGAAAATTAATATTCAAATAGGAAAATGCTGGGTGAGGAATCCCTGTCAAAGATATTCTGTCCATTCATCACTCTCCCATGCTGTGATTTGCTGACATCTAGTGCCGATGCTTTAATTTAGTTCACACACATAATTTCCTATACTACATTGCTGCCCACCAAAATAAAATACCCTGCTTGCAGACTGCCCTGGATTTTAATTCTTATATATCATCATGATGCATTTATAACTTGGAATACCATGAAAGAATTTACGTACGTGATTCATAGGGCTGAAAAAGCACTCTTGCTCTTCTCTCGTCTATTAAAATGTCTTAAGAAATTATGCATATGAAGTATGTGTCAAGTACTTCTTGCTCTGACTTTTTATGTCATATTCATGAAAGGAACTGAATTAGGCTGTGTTGGGGCACAGAGCTAGAAGGTTCAGAGAGAGGGGTCAGGCCATTCTACAAAAACTTAAAACTATCACTGGAATGAAGATACAAGTGTTTTGTTTTGTTTTGTTTTGTTTAGTAAATTCTTGAACTTTCTTCTACCCTTCAGGTTCTACATTGAGGGAAAAGAAAAAGTAAGAAGAAGCAATGATAATATAACCACAGTGATAAGCATTCTCCTGCTCCAAGGACAGTGGTTATTTGGTCCAGCCGTTTAAAACTGATGTTAATTTAAATTGTACAATGTTAGGTTTGTGATCATTAACATTCAACTTCTGATCCACATTAATTGTATCTCTGTATGTGTACTAATGTCAGTGCAAACAATACCTTTTTGCACAAATGTGTTAATAATTTCCAGGATTTTTGCTGCTAGTTCAAGATAATTAGATCTCATATTTTCATAAAAATTCTAATGCTACAAAATCCTGGAACACCAATTTTAATTATCACTTAATAACTCTGTGAAGCAGTCTTATTCACTATAAGACAGGGTTAGTATTTATGAGTATTTGAAATCTGAATTAAATAGTACCTAACTGAATTATTGCTGGGAACCAAACGTAAGTTGTGAATATGAGTATATGTACGTGCATGTGTGTTTTGTGCAATTTCTGTTTTGTGGGGCATGTCTAGGCCACTGTGTGACATGTATGGCTCAACTCCATCAGAATTACAGTGGAATCTTTATTCACACATTTTGTCATGATGTCCTTTGGCTTTCATCTGATCCAAACAAAATCCTAAATTCAACGTGGACTCCATACTCAAACTTCATGTTTTAAGGTGCTCATCTGGAAAACCATGTTACCTTATTTTAGATTAGTAGAGAATTTGTGGATTTTCTATAAATATATGCTTGGCTCTCAGGCTGAGAAACTGCCACGGATGATAGCCATTCATTCATTCAACAATATTTATTGGGCTACTGTGTGCCTGGCACAGGGATTCCAACAATCAACAAACTGCCTGTCCTTATGAACAGCCTTACAGTCTAATGGGGGAAGAGGACAACAGACAAGTAATTATATGATTTCAGATAGTGATTCGTGCTGTAAAGAAAGTGAGCAGGATAAGGGAACAGAGAATCAAAAGGACAGAAGTGCTGTTTTAGAGGCGCTGCAGGAATGGCATCTTTTTGGAGCTGATGTTTGAGCAGACACCTAAATAATATTGTCCAGGAAAAGGGTTTTCCAGGCAGAAGAAGAGCAAGTGCAAAGGTCTTGAGACAGGAATGTACTTGGAATGTTTGAGGACCAATAAGGTAGCCAGTATGGTTGAAACATGAGTCAGGGAAACAAAGTCAGAGAAGTCACTGGGGCCAGGCCACAGGGTCTTATAATGTAGTAACGACTTTGGTGGTTCTTAGGGAGGAAAAAATGCGACTGCAGAAGGCATGTTTTAGATAGACAAGAGATGGAACTCCTGTCTCTGAAAATCTTTTTTTTTCCTTTTCCTTTTAAAAATCAACTTTATTGAGGTATAATTTACATATGACAAATGCACCCATTTTAAGAGTACAGTCAGATGACTTCTGGCAAATGTATATATCCATGTCACGATCACCATAATCAAGATAAAGAATATTTCCATCATCCCCAAAAGTTCCCTTGTTCACTTCTGCAGTCAGTCCCCATTTCCTGACCCCCATCAGAGCCAGGACCTCACTGGAATTAGGGGACTGATTATTTTTTATGGGAACTTTAAGGACCTAGATCTGTGCTGCCCAGTATGGTAGCCACTAGCAAAATGTGGCACTTTCATCTAATCTAAATTAGATTAAGTGAACAATTCAGTTCCTCAGTTGCACTAGCCACATTTCAAGTGCCTAAGAGCCACATGTGACTAATGGCTGCCATGCTGGACAGGACAGGCATAGGACTTTTCCATCACCACAGACAGTTCTATTGGGCAATGCTGAGATGTCACTCTGGTGGAATGTAACCTTCACCACATGGAGGTGGTCCAAGCAGCCTGAAAACTGAGTAAGCCAAGCCATACACGTCACATTACCTAGCTTTATGTTACTATCTGTGTGTATTACCTTTATCACCAAGTAATTAATAAAACCCATGCTTGGGCCAGAGTGTTAAAGGCCGGTGGTATGACAATGGCAACGGTAACTATGGAGTTGTTCACTACATAAAAACTCTTCTTCCATTACTAAGTTTAAAGGATATCCTATTTTTATTAAGGGAAATGATTTCTCTTATAACTCATAAGGCACAATCTTGTTTTAAGTAAAATTAAACCTCAGAATCACAGTCTTACTACATCTATGTGTGTGTTTTTGAAGGGGGCATTCTGAAGCAAATAGGCTGAAATAGAAACATTTGTTAAACCTGGTGGTGAGTTTTATATTATTTTTCTGTACACTTTTGAGTGTTTGAAATATTTTAAAACAAAAAAAGTAGGCTTTCATTTTAAATGTTAGACAAGAACATTTAATGTTATCAAGATTGTTCATGATGCGATTAAAGAATATAAGTTTAAAACAGTATGCACAGTAGTATAGGAAGATGGTCAGAATAGCCTAAGTGTTAGTATGGCATAATAGCTAAGTGTAATCTGGAGCCAGACTATGTGGGTTTTAATTTTAATTTTGCTACTTACTAGCAATGACACATTGAGTAAGTTACTTAACTTCTCTGTGCTTCAGTTTCCTCATCTGTAAAATAAAAATGTTAATAATAGTACCTGGCTCATAAGGATATTGTAAGGATTCAGTAAGTATATGTAAAGATGCTGGTGCACAGTAGATGCTCAGTAAGCGTTAACAGCTACCATGATGAGGCTGAGGATGAAGGTGGTGTAATTTTGGTTTCTTAAAAAAGTACACTCCTGTTTTTCTTTTCTTTCTTTCTTTTTTTAGGGGAAGAAAAAGAACTTGAACTGTCCATCAAAAATGTCAACAGTTGTATAACCTCTAATTGATAACAGACTTATTTTTTCTTCTTTTTTACTTAGTTTCTAAATATCCTATGTCAAGTAATTCTTTTTATACTTAAAACAATAGAAACACTGAAACAAATCTTGGCTTTAAGCCCTTCACCCAAAGTGCCCTATAGTCTGGTAAGCAGTGATTTTCAAAGTGTGAGCTTTGGATCAGTGGCATCAGCAGTACCAGAGAACTTGCTAGAAATGCAAATTCTCAAACTCCACCCCAGATTGAGTACACCTGGGGTGGAGCCCAGCAATCTGTGTTTTAGCTTTATGTTCGATTCTGATGCCCAGTAAAGTCTGAGAACTACAGTGCTAAGGCATAACTTGTAGCTCTGTACTTGACATCTCTCACCTTTATATAAGGACAAATCCTGCCAATCATTCTTCCTCAAATACTCTCTGCAACTCTTGTTCACAGTGTCCTCCTTCTACCCTTGGACATACCTTCTCCACAAGCCTTTTGAGAATAGCTCCTCTCTATCCTCAGTTACTACTGCCTGATACAGAACACACAAATGCTTTCTGGAGGCTGGCAGGTAATTTGTCTCAAGGGGGCCTGGTGTATGACCTTAAAGAGTGAAGTGCTGGCCACTGCCCAAAGATGTTCACATTCTAAAAAAGTTAAACTGCTGCTGGTCAAACACAAACATAACAAAGCCAAGTTTGGCTACTGGCCACCAGTTTGCACTCACTTCTTGGCTAATTCTCTCTCATATCACCAAGCAGCTACGATGTAGTGGAAAGAGTGAGTTCCGAAAAATGGAGGAAAACCTTGATTTGAAGCCCAGCTCCACTACTTGCTAACTGGGTGGTAATAATGATAAAAATGTGAACCTTTCAGGGTTACATCTTCTTCTCATCTGTGTAATAAGGACAATACTACCTATCTCATGGGATTGTTTTAAAGATTAAGATAATATACTTAAAAACATCTGCCCTGTAACAAGCCCTCACTAAATTGTTCACAGTGTTTGTGATATTTTCTTATATTGTTTTGATTGATTATATGCCTTATTCTACTTGTATTTAGGAACAATTTAGTTAAGCCTATTTATTCTATTAGACTCTGAGCTCTTTTGGGATGGGGATGGCCTTCTGTACCCCTTTAAGTTCCTACAATACCTACTTCAGTAATGAAGTCCCTCTCACGTCCACCCCAAGCTTCAACAAAAGCTTGTGGCTCAAAGTCTGATTGTCTGGGGTAGGGATCTGGAGTGACATAAATGGACTCTCAATAGAGATGTACATTTCATATGAGAAAGTATGTGGCTCACTTCTAACAACTCCCAAAGTTATGCTTCCCTTCTTTTTCCAATATAAAAGAGAAAAAACAAGGATGGTTGTTCTGCTGTTAAGTGGAGACCCCTAGCTTTTTACATTTACCAGGTTTGTAAAAAGCAATATAGGAAGTTTACAATGCCATATCAGAAATGATGAAAAAAATGAATTTCAGCATTAACTTAATTTTGACAGTTCAGATACAAGTGATGCTGGGGTGATGGTGGTAGAAGAGGTAGGTAACATTAGGTGCTCAGCACATTTTTCCCATCTGGAATACTGATTCAAGAACAATAACTATTTTATGTTCTACAAAGATTTTATGAAGGTCATTAGGTAATTAATATCATGGGATTTGAGGGGAAGAGGAAGGAAGTATATGTATCTCACGCAAGCAGGTTGCAGGCTTTCTGCACTCCTTTGGCCACATAAGAAACAGAATGTCATAGAAAACAAACTTATGGTTACCAGGGTGGGAAGGGGGGAGGAGGAATAAATTGGAAGTTTGAGATTGGCAGATACAAACTACTATGTACAGAATAGATAAACAACAAGGTTCTACTGTATAGTATAGCACAGGGAACGATATTCAATGGCTTGTAGTAGCCTGTAATGAAAGAGAATATGAAAAAGAATATGTGTATATATATGTACAGTTGGATCACTGTGCTGTACACCAGAAACACACAACACTGTAAATCAACTATACTTCAATTAAAAAAAAAAAGAAAACAGAACGTCACATTTGGTCATGACAAAATTTTCTTTTTCTTATTTTATAGGTACTCATGCCTAAGTGGCTGTAAAGAATTAATTCACATCTTGGATTTGGCCTGGTTAATATCATTGCCCCTTTATTTATGTTAGCTTTCTTACCTTCTAACTTTGCATCTACAGACTTATTAAAATAAATGACTTTCAGGTTAAATGATCTAATTTAATTCTAGAATTCCTTTAAAACTTATCTCCTCTCCCTGCCCCCCCCATTAACTATTTTTTTCCCTCAATAATATAGTCCTTAAAAGTAGGAGAGCTAAAGTAACAAATGGGTTTAAGTATCAAATTTAGTTTGGGAACAGAATTTCTAACTAATCAAGGTTACATATGGAGAAATTAACACTGGACCAGTCAAGTGGATTGTACTTGATAAGTCAGAGAAAGTCTACCCAATTCTTTCAGCAGGGTGGAAGTAGATATTCTGTGAAGGTACGACTCAGAATGACATATTCAAATGCACTTCAAAAAAAATCTATTTCACTATTCATAAGTTTTATCAACAAGGACAATTTGGGTTGGTGATCTCCACATGAAAGTGCACATCAGTGTTAGAACTGCACACTGCTATTACTCTTTATGTGCTCCGAGGATTTCATCATGAGAAAAATATAACTTTGCTGCAGGTGTAAATTCTCAGTCACAGCAGAAAATAATTTCCACTTAAAGGGCACATCTGGTTTCTCAACTTATAAAGAATTAAAAATCAGCGCCAAGACCACTTGTGTAGTTACCACCAAACTACTGTCAGAATAGATATAAACAATTTACCTGCATCAATTAATTCTTTAAGAAAAACTATTGAAAATTACTCCCTTCAAGGTAAGTAACATTACCTATCTTGTATGGAGGTTACACTATTTTTACAGGCCAGGTAGAATTGGGCAAGCAAATAATTTAATATTTGAAGGATTTCTTTTTGAAGCATGCCATTTCTTCAGAAGAAAACTGTAAACAATAATTAGGTGAAAGTCAGCACTAATATTCTTCAGGAGCGTGTATTTTACAGTCGATTCACTTCAAAGGATCAAATATTCTATTTGCTTAAAAAACCTAATAAGGTAAACAGTTCCCTTGGCAGCTATAGAAAACTTGAGTGGTTTCATGGACTGTACTATGTATCTATTTGGTGCCAAATGTTTCAGAAATTTTGAGGGAGTTTCACTTATCTAAAGTTTCAGAAAGCAAGAATTTCCAGAACGATAAGTGAAAGGGGCTAACTGTACAACATTAAAATAGTACTAGCTTTCAATTAACATATGAATGTGTTCTGCATAAAGCGGCAGTTTCCTAGCACATAAGTAATAAAGTTCTGTACACACACTACTACATATAAAACACATAAACAAGAACCTACTGCGTAGCACAGGGAACTTTATTCAATATCTTGTAATAACCTATAATGAAAAAAAAATCTAAAAAAGAATATATATAACTGAATCACTTTGCTGTACACCTGAATCATTATAAATCAACTATACTTCAATAAAAAAAAAGAAGAAATGACGTTACGATATAGTGAATGGTGGACTATTAACACAGTATTGTATTCTCCACCTGGAAAATTCTGTTAGAATTTTAATGAGTGGTGCTTGGAAAATGTACAATTAAAAATGTCATAGTAACCATTTCCCTATAGAAAATTGGTATCTTCAAGGTGCATTTTTTGAAAAACCTCAAATCTTGATTTTCAATAAAGCAGAGATGTATAACTCAGAAAAAAAATTCTGTGGCCTCCTTAAGGGTAAACATCCTTATTACCCTCTTGAGTCATTAAGAGGAGATCCTGAGGCCTAACAAAAGGTCTGAGCTTAACAGCTCCTTTTCCCTCTTGCAGTAAGTCGTGTAAAAAGCACTCTCTGGGGCTGAGATATCCCTGTGATTTGACCTTGGACAAGTAACTTAATTCTTTCTAGTCTGTTTCCATAACTGTAAATACAGTCAGTAATACCTCGTAAAGGTATTACAGGTGTGAGGATGAGATGATACATGTGAACAAGTTATGCAAACTATAAAACAGCAGTAACCAGAAGTTAGTTACTATTTTATATTAACACTTTTCCTGCCTATGTCCTGTCTGTAAAATGGGTACAGATCTAGGTCTAAACGCCTGTAAACCTAAGCAAGTCATTTCCTTTCTGGACATGTTTCCTCTATTATTATATTATTAAGATTAAACGACATCGTGTATGTAAATGCTATGACAGGCATATATCAAGAACGCAATAAATGATAACTGCTATTACTCTCTGAGGGTAGGACTATAAGGAGCAAACAATATTATACCTACTCAGAAAGCTCTGGATCTGTATTTAAACTCTATACACATCCAAGGTATTGCTTTTTGTACTGTAAACTGCAAAAATGTACACGGTTCCAGGAAACAAATGGCGCCTCGGTGACTCCCAGCACAGAGGGGAAAAAAGGCAGAAGAGGTAGTTCAGGAGCCTGAGTGGCTTGTAAGAGCGGTAAGAATGAGAAGTGAGGAGTGTGACAGGACAGGATGAAAAAAAAAAAAAAACTTAAGAAACATTCCGAGAATCAATTCACTATACTCCCCCCTTTTCTTTTATGACCTCCAGCCTAGACTAGACCATTTCACTCAACTTCCCAGCCCGCCATGTCGCTGGACATTTATTTACTGTACCTTCTTCACTGAGAGCCTTTCATTCCCCTCCCCTTCTAGCAGTCGTGAACTTCAGACCCTTTGCTTCCGACACCCATTCCCTTTAACTCTGTTATTAACCAAGCTTCCCTGTATCCTTCCCTCCGCCTATGGGGGAAGTGAGGCCGCTCGAACCGCAAGGCATCCTAGGAAATGTGGTCTCTCTTACTCATTTTGCTTGGGCCCCAGGATGGGGAAGACGACAAAAGAGGTACAGTTAAAACTACAACTCCCGGCAGGCAACGTGAGTGACAATCTTCCTTTCTGCCTCCCTCCCCACTGCCTTCCTCTTCCTCCTCTCCGCGGGCGCTGAACCGCTTGGCCTCACGGTATTTGTAGTTCTTTACGGATCAAAGATCCCAGCACTTGAAGACCAGGAGAGAGGCTGGAAAACTCTAATTCCCAGAGGGCAGAGCGGAAGCTGCGCCTGCGCAATGTCGGTAAGGGCGTGTATGTCTGTGTCTCTGAGGGAGAGAGAGCGAGAGTGATTGAGTGTGAGTGCGGGGTAGGGTGGTGGCCGTTACGTTCGGGGCAACGGCTACGGCTACGGCGGTGGAGAAGTAAGAGAAACAACGTCCGGCGCTTCCGCCTTCGCTTAGGAGGAGGAGGAGCTGATAGGGAAAGGAAAGTGATTCGCCCTGGGCCTGGACTAGACCGAGTCGGGCCGGCTAGGGTCTGGGCTATGAGCCTTTGAGGGTCGCTTGGGACGCGGAGCAAGACTCGAGAGCCAAGAGCTATGTCTCAGCCGCCGCCGCCGCCTCCGCTGCCGCCGCCACCTCCTCCCCCAGAGGCTCCTCCGACTCCGCCGTCCCTGGCGGCGGCGGCGGCGGCTGCTCCGGGGGGGCTCTCGAAGCGGAGAGACCGGAGAATCCTCTCCGGGAGCTGCCCGGATCCGAAGTGCCAGGCGCGTCTGTTCTTCCCGGCCTCCGGTTCTGTCAGCATCGAGTGTACCGAGTGCGGACAGCGGCACGAGCAGCAACAGCTGCTGGGGGTGGAGGAGGTGACCGACCCGGACGTAGTGCTGCACAACCTGCTGCGGAATGCGCTGCTCGGGGTGACAGGGGCACCCAAGAAGAACACGGAACTGGTAAAGGTGATGGGCCTTTCTAACTACCACTGCAAATTGCTGTCGCCCATATTAGCTCGCTACGGAATGGACAAACAGACAGGCCGGGCCAAGCTTCTCCGGGACATGAACCAGGGCGAACTGTTCGATTGCGCTTTACTGGGTGACCGCGCCTTCCTCATCGAGCCAGAGCATGTTAACACGGTGGGCTATGGCAAGGACCGCTCCGGAAGCCTCCTGTATTTGCATGACACTCTTGAGGACATCAAGCGGGCCAATAAAAGTCAGGAATGCCTCATTCCAGTGCATGTGGACGGGGATGGACACTGCCTGGTGCATGCTGTGTCCCGGGCTCTAGTGGGCCGGGAGCTCTTCTGGCACGCCTTGAGAGAGAATCTTAAACAGCACTTTCAGCAGCACCTGGCCCGATATCAAGCTCTGTTCCATGACTTCATTGATGCCGCTGAGTGGGAGGACATTATCAATGAGTGTGACCCTCTGTTTGTACCACCTGAGGGTGTTCCCTTGGGTCTGAGGAACATCCATATATTTGGCCTTGCCAATGTGTTACATCGCCCTATTATTCTGTTAGATTCACTCAGTGGCATGAGAAGCTCTGGTGATTATTCAGCCACCTTTCTGCCAGGGCTCATCCCTGCAGAGAAGTGCACTGGGAGAGATGGTCATTTGAACAAACCAATCTGTATTGCATGGAGTAGCTCTGGTAGAAACCATTATATCCCCTTGGTAGGCATAAAAGGGGCTGCTTTGCCCAAACTGCCTATGAATTTACTTCCTAAAGCATGGGGTGTGCCTCAGGACCTTATTAAGAAGTACATCAAACTTGAGGAGGATGGTGGTTGTGTCATTGGAGGAGACAGAAGTTTGCAGGATAAATACTTACTTAGGCTTGTTGCTGCTATGGAAGAAGTTTTTATGGACAAACACGGTATCCATCCTAGTTTGGTGGCTGATGTCCACCAGTATTTCTACAGGAGGACTGGGGTGATAGGAGTTCAGCCTGAAGAAGTCACAGCAGCTGCTAAAAAAGCAGTAATGGATAATCGCCTTCACAAATGTTTGCTCTGTGGTGCCCTTTCTGAACTTCATGTTCCTCCAGAGTGGTTGGCTCCAGGAGGGAAACTGTATAACCTGGCAAAAAGTACTCATGGACAGCTGAGGCCTGACAAAAATTATAGCTTTCCCTTGAACAATTTGGTTTGCTCATATGATTCAGTGAAAGATGTTCTGGTACCAGACTATGGATTGAGTAACCTAACAGCTTGTAATTGGTGCCATGGCACATCTGTGCGAAGAGTCAGAGGAGATGGGTCTATTGTGTATTTGGATGGGGACAGAACTAATTCTAGGTCCACTGGTGGCAAATGTGGTTGTGGATTCAAACATTTTTGGGACGGTAAAGAGTATGACAATCTACCAGAAGCTTTTCCTATTACTTTGGAATGGGGTGGAAGAGTGGTCAGAGAAACAGTATATTGGTTCCAGTATGAAAGTGATGCATCTTTGAATAGTAATGTTTATGATGTTGCAATGAAACTTGTTACCAAGCACTTTCCAGGTGAATTTGGGAGTGAAATTCTTGTTCAGAAAGTTGTCCACACTATATTGCATCAGACTGCCAAAAAGAATCCTGATGATTATACTCCTGTAAATATAGATGGTGCACATGCCCAGAGAGTTGGAGATGTACAAGGACAAGAATCAGAGTCTCAGCTCCCAACTAAAATTATTCTTACTGGACAGAAAACAAAAACTTTGCACAAGGAGGAGTTAAACATGAGTAAAACGGAAAGAACTATTCAACAGAATATTACGGAACAGGCTGCTGTAATGCAGAAACGGAAAACAGAGAAGTTAAAACAAGAACAAAAAGGACAACCCAGGACTGTTTCCCCCAGTACCATTCGTGATGGTCCATCCTCTGCACCTGCCACCCCTACCAAGGCTCCCTATTCACCAACAACTTCTAAGGAGAAGAAGATCCGTATAACAACTAATGATGGACGACAGTCCATGGTTACACTTAAGTCTTCAACAACCTTTTTTGAACTTCAGGAAAGCATAGCCAGAGAATTTAACATTCCTCCATATTTACAGTGTATTCGGTATGGCTTTCCCCCTAAAGAGTTAATGCCACCGCAGGCTGGAATGGAAAAGGAGCCAGTTCCTTTACAGCATGGTGACAGAATTACAATAGAGATTCTAAAAAGTAAAGCTGAAGCGGGTCAGTCTGCTGCAGCCCACTCAGCCCACACTGTGAAACAAGAAGAGGGTGCTGTCACTGGTAAACTGTCATCTAAGGAACTTCAGGAGCAAGCTGACAAAGAAATGTACTCCTTGTGTCTTTTAGCAACGTTAATGGGTAAGATCAATTTGACTTGATACTATTTCTTAACTTAATTGTGAATGTAATATGCTAAGTTTTTCTGTTGTCTTTGTGAAAAAAAAATCTGGTCATTGTAAGAACTGTTTGATTATATATTTTAGAAGAAAATTTTTTCTTTCATTTTTTGGCAGTGGATGGCTGTTAGTGTAGTTCTCTATTGAGTAAGTATTAGGAAAACGTAACTAAGAAAGTGAAAGTGATCCCTTAATTGTCACCAGATTATTTAAATATAATGTATTCTTGTAATTGTTTTTATTTTTTAAATGGGCTTGTAATGTATCCATTTAAAGCCTTTTTCATTTTTACCCCCGTTGGCTCTATTGAGCCTGCCCACCTTTCCCCTTTTCATTTATTTTTAAATTTCATTTTCTTGCATGTCATGTGATTTCAGGACTTCCTGTTTGATGAATTGCAGTTTCTGGGTTTATATGCTCACTGCACTTCCCACCTAATAGTCTCTCTCCTCCATTTCCTGTTCTGCTTTTCCCAGTTCATCACGTTTTTTTTTATTTGTGCATTAAGATTTGTGTTCTAATTTTCTTGTTCAGTGACTCTTTGCCATCAGTTGTAATCAACTATTTTATTATAACTCATGAGAAACATAAGAAACAGAGGTAGATGTTAATGATGTTGCTTAAGAAGCATTTCTTTTTAATAATTCAGCACAAATTAAAGGAAAATATATTATCAACCACATATGTAATTTAAAGCTTTGGATAATTTGGGAAATGATCCAGTGGTGTGTTTTTTACATTATTTTTTGTCTAATCTTTGTTTTTAAATTACTGTGAATATGCTTTATTAAGGCTTAAAGTAGAAAAATTGAAATAAATTACCTGTTAGAGGGGCCTTGTTTTTGCTGAGATTAGAGCTTTCAACTAGAAAAATGATCTGGGTTTTGACTGTGTTTTCTAAGAGTACTGAATTTCAGTGACTTGGGCCTTGACCCACCAAAATGAAGATTATTTCTGGCTTGTTAAATTTGGGGGCCTAGTAGTTAATGGGGATCTAAAAGCTTTGTACCAATTTATTACTTAATATTGCTGACTCTATTTGGGGAGACATTATCATTGAATTGGGGGATATGTCAAGAAATGTACTAAGCACTTCAAATTTTACCATCTCAGAGCTTTTAGTTTCTTAGAGACTGTATGGAATAAAGGGAATGATTGTGATTTTTGCAGTCAGACCTTGAATTTGAATCCTGGCTCCACTACTTATAAATTTAGTAATTTCGGGCAAGCTACTTAACCCCCAAAGTACTTTAGTTGCCTCCTCTCACAAGATACTCCTTGTAGTTGGTACATAGGGCAACAGTAAAGTACTCCCAGAATTCTGAAAACTGAACGCCCTCAGCACAGAATGGATAAAATTAGATATATGCAGAAGGCACTTTTTTAAAAACCAGCAATCTCCAGGTCAAAACAGGGAAGAAGTCTTTCTTAATAGAAGAGGAACTCTTGAGGATGTGTCTCATATCAAACCTTGGATGCTCAGCACCTGGTACAGTGCCCAGCAGGTAGTAGGCACTTTGAAATGTTTTTGATTGAATTAAACAGATGACATTACCATATCTAAAGAAAGGCTGTATCAGCAGAAATGGAATGGCTGGTCAGCATTGAACATTGAAAAAGAGTTGAAAAGCAGAATTTGGCACTGTTCATACACTGCTATACAAAAGGAAAAAATATATCAACTGGGGTTCATGAAAATTCTAGTAACTAGAAAGGTAATCTCTGTTGAGGGCAGGAATATTTGATCAGTTCTCTCCATGGCCTGCCTGAAAGATCTGTATCCCTTTACTGATTCCATAGTCATCAAGCATCTAGTCTGATCACTCATTTAGCTTCCTGATGTAAGTACTGATGTACAGGTGAGAGTGCAGGTGAGGATTATGTTCACTTGGAAGGCTCTATTCTGCATTGTAGATGAATAAATTGGCACAGGTGAGATTATGATCAGTAGTCTAAAAGTCTAGTCAGCATAATATATTTCATAATGAAAATTAGTAAAATAATTCTGGTTTACAGTTAGTCACTTTTTGAGTTTGGATTGAGGCTTCTGGACCTGAATATCTGAGTGCTAGACTGTGGACTGCAATGAGTTGACCAAGAATATATTTTTTATTATTATTATTTAATTTAATTAATTGATTTTTTATTGAAGTATAGCTGGTTTACAATGTTGTATTAATTTCTGGTATACAGCATAGAGATTCAGTTATACGAACATTTATTCCTTTTCATATTCTTTTTCATTATAGGCTATTACAAAGTATTGAATATTCTTCCCTGTGCTATATAGTAGTTCCTTGTTTATCTACAAGATAATGTCTGCTTGTTATGCTCTCTTCACCTCCAACATTTATCTTGCTGCCCCTACAAACCCACACATTTAAGTCTTCCACTTCTACTCCTGACGCAAAATTTAAGCATAAAAAAGAGTGTTTTGCCAATTTTATAGTGGTGGTACTTGATAGATTTCCTGCTTTGAAGAACTGAGACGGTGCCTGGCCTGTATTAGTCCTTCTGTAAATATTAGTTTTCTACCTTTAATTCTCTCTTAACTGTATTTGAATTAAGTAGAGGATATTCTTAATTAAAAGTGATATGTTTGTAAAAATGTCAATTTGGAGATAGCTAAGTAAGTACACATAACCTTATATAAAGAGTGCTGAAGAACTATTGATATTTAGATTGAAGAGGGCTGGAAAATGGAAAACGACAGGGTTTGTTTAGAAAATTGCAGGTTTCAAAGTGCAGAAATGCCTTTGTGAATTACTAAATGAGAGCTAAGCTGATGGTACGTTAGTTTAGAAAATAGCTCATCAAGCTTCATGCTGTTTGAATAGCTGGCTCCTTATTTAGGTTAAGGCTTTAATATCATTTTCTATTTTTAAAATTTTTCATTTAAATTGAATTATAGTTGATTATAATGTATGTTAATTTCTGGTGTACAGCATAGTGATTCATTTATATATATATATATATATATTCCTTTTAATATTCTTTTACATTATAGGCCATTACAAGGTATTGAATATAATTCCCTGTTCTATACAGTAGGACCTTGTTGTTTATCTGTTTCATGTATAGTAGTTAGTATCCATGAATCCTAAGCTCCCAATTTAACCATTCTACCCCCTTTCTCCCCTGGTAACCATAAGTTTGTTGTCTTTGTGAATCTGTCTCTGTTTTGTAAGTAAGTTCATTTGTGTCCTTTTTTTTTTCAAGATTCCACAGATAAGTGATACCATACGGTATTTTTCTTTCTCTTTCTGACTTCACTTATTGTCCAAGTCCATCCACGTTGCTGCAAATGGCATTATTTTATTCCTTTTTATGGCTAAGTAGTATTCCATTCCTCACCTTCCTTTATTCAGTCATCTGTCAGTGGATATTTAGGTTGCTTCCTACTCTTGGCCATTATAAATAGTGCTGCTATGAACATTGGGATACGTATATCTTTTTGAGTTAGAGTTTCCTCCAGGTATTCCTCCAGATATATGCCCAGGAGTGGAATTGCTGGATGTTAGGGTAAGTGTATTTTCAGTTTTTTAAGTAATCTCTGTACTGTTTTCCATCATGGCTGCACCAAACTACATTCCCACCAACAGTGTAGGAGGGTTCCCTTTTCTCTATACTCTCTCCAACATTTATCATTTGTGAACTTTTTAATGATGGCCATTCTGACTGGGGTGAGTTGATACCTCACTGTAGTTTTTTTTTTCTTTTTTCTTTTTCATTGAAGTATAGTCAGTTTACAATGTTGTGTCAATTTCTGGCATACAGCATATAATCCTTTTCATATTCTTTTTCATTATAGGTTACTCACAAGATATTGAATATAGTTCCCTGTGCTATATAGTATAAACTTACTGTTTATCTATTTTATATATAATAGTTAGGATCTACAAATCTCAAACTCCCAATTTATCCCTTCTCAACCCTTTTCCCCTTTGGTTAGCATAAGTTTGTCTTGTATATCTATGAGTCTGTTTCTGTTTCATAAATAAGTTCATTTGTGTCTTTTTTTTTAGATTCCACATTTTATTGAGATCATATGGTATTTTTCTTTCTCTTTCTGGCTTACCCCACTTAGAATGACGATCTCCAGGTCCATCCATGTTGCTGCAAGTGGCATTATTTTATTCTTTTTAATGACAGTAGTATTCCATTTTATGTGTGTATGTGTGTGTGTTATCACAACTTCTCATTTGCATTTCTCTGATAACTAGTGATATTGAGCATTTTTTCATGTACCAATTGGCCATTTGTATATCTTCATTGGAGAATGCTTGTTTAGGTCTTCTGCCCAATTTTTGGATTGGGTTGTTTGTTTTTTTCTTATTGAATTGTATGAGCTCTTTGTGTATTCTGGAATTTAAGCCCTTGTCAGTTGCATCATCAGAGGTTTTCTCCTGACCACCTTATCTAAGGGTCTGAGAGGCCTTTGCTAAACCATTCTAAGTAGGTCCCATTTACTGCTGCACCCTGTTAATTTCCCTCATAGCAACTATTACAGGTTTTCATTATCTTATTTGTTGGTTTATTTATTCATTTGCCTCCCCCATTATATTGTAAACTCCATAGAGGCAGGGACAGTAGCCTGTTTTATTCACCGATGAATACCCTTTCTCCTGCACAGGCCCTGGCAGTTAGTAGGTGCCAAGTATATGCTTATTGAATGAATGAATGAATGAATGCAGATTATTTCAGCAAAATGAATGTCTGCTGTGAGCTAGAGACTGTACTGTAGTTATAAAGATGAATGAGACACAGTCCTTGCCCTCCATTAACTTACCTGCAGGGTCTCAACTGAGGGCATCCCATCCTTTTATAGCTTTCATTTATAATTTTTATGTATAGCGAAAAGGAAGCTGGAGATCTGTTGATGAAAGCTATGAAAGTATAGGAGATATATAGGATTGTATGTCTTCATTAAATAGGCTGACTTCTTGATAGGGACATGTGTTTTTCCTTTCTATTGTTTTAATTAGAATATTTGTTAAATAGAATTTATGTCTATTTATTTGTATCAATGAGACAATAAGTGAATGCATCGGTCTTTTGCTCAGTATGAATCATTCATGTAACTAGCCACTTTGAATTTAACTATGGTAGTTTAAAATGAAATTACAAAGTTCTACCTGTAATATTTCACAGATTTTAATCTGTGTTGTTCAGACCACTTGGATGTTATTGAATAATTTTTGTAGACTATTATCTTTATTATTTATACAGTATGTGAGTGACTCTAACTCTGGCATTGCAGAATATATAATTAAATTTTCTTATATACCCATTTTTTTGTGGATTTTATTTTGTGGTAGATATGATACATAGCACATCATCCACTGTAAATACCAGTCTAATTTCTTTTTCTTAGTATTATATTATATTAAATTTCTAGTTAACTTTCTTTTTCAAGAGATAGACAAATTTGTGAAAAAAAAGTTTGCCAGTTTTATAAGAGTTTTATACACATTTTGTCAGAGTTGCTTTAATGGAATTAGGCTACTTGTGATATTTACCCCACTTTACTACAAAGGTTAGCAACCTTTCAGAAGTTGAAAAAATTGTTTGATTTTTATATACTTTCTATCTTCCTGAAAGAACTGTATGAGTTTTTAATATACATTTTAAAATTACACAATATTTTATACTTTCATAGTACCTCTTTTTTAATTTTTAATTTTTTTTATTGGAAGTGTAGTCAATTTACAATGTGTTAATTTCTGGTGTATAGCATATATATATATTCCTTTTCATGTTCTTTTTCATTATAGGCCATTACAAGATATTGAATATAGTTCCCTGTGCTATACAGTAGGACGTTTTTGCTTATCTATTTTCTATATAGTAGTTTATCTCTGCTAATCCAAACTCCTAATTTATCTCTCCCTCATCCCCTCTCCCTTTGGTAACCATAAGTTTGTTTCCATGTTTGTAAGTCTGTTTCTGTTTTGTAAATTAGTTCATTTGTGTCCTATTTTAGATTCCACATGTAAGTGATATCATATGGTATTTGTCTTTCTCTTTCTGATTTACTTAGTATGGCAATCTCTTGGTCCATCCATGTTGCTGCAGATGGCATTATTTCACTCTTTTTTATGGCTGAGTAGTATTCCATTGTGTATATATACCACATCTTCTTTAATTTTAACATACTTTTAAAAATTACTTCTTATTAAAGAGGGAAAAAATTAGGTAACTGAAAGAAAAAACATCCATAATATGGATGACTTTAGTGGAAGTATGTATATACCAAAGGAAATGATTTGCCTGTTTTTTCTCCTAGCCAGTTGTTGATACCATGGATTTCTATAAGAAAAGAGAGTGGGTAGTTCTGCCGAATTTATTGTAAAGGTTTAGTATCTAGTGGAGGTTTAGTATCAGTGAAAAAGGTGTAAGTTGTGGAATGATACATAGGGTTCAAATCTAGGCTTTGCCACTTCCTAGCTGTTTGATTTGGGAGAATTTTTTAAACTCTCTGAGCTTGGTTCCTCTTCTGTAAAGGGCTCAGTTGTGATGAGAAAATGAAATTATGTAAAGTGCCTGCTCTGAGCTGGGTAGATAATAAAGATATAGATGGTATTCATCCTTCGCTTAAAGCAGTAGAGCATGCATACTCAGTGGGGCCATGTAAGTCTGAAGAGGGTGAAAATTGGTTCTTGGAAGAGGGAGAGGGTAAAATAAATCTTATTCTGTTTAATGAATAAAGTGCATATATACATATAGTACATAAACAGGTAACTAGTATACCTATAGAGTTCAAATACCATGGGGGAGGCAGATTAGGAAAATAATGTCTAAAAACAATCTTTAGGGAGAGATAATGAAAACAAGTTAGATTAACACTCCAATAGAGTTCTTTTTTTTTTAACATTTTTTTAATTGAGTTATAGTCATTTTACATAGAGTTCTTACTTTTTAGAGTTCTGCCTGCTTAAATAAGGAATAGTCAGGCATGTAAAGTACTAAGAAATGTCATTTTTCTTGCTAGTGTTTAGGTGGTCAGTTCTGAGAAGTTTACTATTTTGGCACCTGTTTAGATTTTGACCAAAAAAATTAAGTGCTACCGTATAGTTTTTTGATATGTTTTTATTCTAGAATATTTGATAAATGATATCCTAGAGTATTTGGTAAACTGCTAAGTACATTTAAGATAACATTGATAATAACTGAATGAAAGGTTATCATCATAGAAATAATTTCTCTAAATAAAATTTAATAATAAGTTCAGCAATCAGAACATCTGCCAGAAGTTATTAATGTTCTGTATTTGGGGGTTCTTACTAATATTCAATAATTTAAACTACTGTGTCCACCCTTAAATATTGCCCTATTCTAGCAGTACTGTATCATTAGTGAATTAACTGTTTGTGTGTAGGTAAATGTTCTAGTTAACTGAAACTTTAAGTGCCAAGGCTTTTTAAATTTGTGTACTTTAAGCTGATAATACTGAGCAACTTTAGCCAACTGCCATGCAAATTCATACTCTCATTTATGAATGTAGAAGGAGTTAGAGCTCTGAGAGATTGTAGGTACATAGTGATTAGTTCACAATCATCAATAACCCCCATTCAAAGCTCAGATCTAACAGTATAATCTTCTAGAAGGAAAGATAAAACTTAACATTCTTTGTTAAAATAACTACGAAAGGTCCTGATTATAAAAGCAGTACATATATATTATCAGACCAGAGAATAATGAAAGTATAAAGGAAAAAAATAACCACAGTCCACAAACCAAAAGTAACTTTTATGTTCCTTCCTTTCTTTATTAACTTCTTGAACAGTGATTATCACTCTTAACTTCTTATTTGAAACTTCTTATTGATAATAGGCACTGTCAAAGGATGTTCTTGAAAAAATGTTTTTGTGAAATGGTGAAATTTGTGGACTTCTAAAGTTTTTTTCTAAATCTTGTCAACAGTTCACTTCCCCCCTAAATTGATTAGTTTTAACATAAATATAGAATATATATTTTTATATTATACTTTAAAAACATAAAAATCTTTCTGTAACCTTTTCTGTTGTTCTAGTCCAAAGTTAGCAAACTAGTTTACTTTGAACTGGACTGAGTGTTCATATATATTTTGTTTAATATGCCCAGTATTGATTCATGCAGTCTTAAAAATGCTTTTGAATTAGTTTTTTCTACTTTTAAAAATTGGGAGAGTTAATGTTAAAAACCTAGATTTTTGGCTTCTCTTGAAATGCTACTTGATCTTGAAATATTGGGCTTGTACTCTTCCATGACAGTACTTGGCAGTGGCTGCCACCTTTAGATGAGCCATGTTTTTTTTAGTGTGCCATAGTCCCTGTTATAGACTGCATCTCTCATATGGGAGATCTGCCTTACAGTCTCTGAGGCTAATCCACATTAAAGCAAGCCTGGGTTGAACTCTCTTATTTGTTGCTAATATTGTACCTTTTTTTATTTTACAGGAGAAGATGTATGGTCTTATGCAAAGGGGCTTCCTCACATGTTCCAGCAGGGTGGTGTATTCTACAATATTATGAAGAAAACCATGGGTATGGTTGATTTCTGATTTTATTCTTAGATAATATCTCCACTCAAGCTATTATAAGATTAAGAAAGTTCAGATAATATTCTTCTAAAACTATTTCCAATGTTAATTTTAGGTATATATTCTTCTTTGCTAGTCTGCCTAGTTAAAATGGATTATTATCCTGATATGGTCAGCTATGTTTTCTGCTATAATATTACTAAAAATCTTGTATCACTTTTTTCCTATTTTTTCATTTAAGTTATATATGTGATCCTTAACAACTAAAGACAGATTGTGAAATGAGAAACTGATTTGTTTATAATGCTAGTGACTATCCCAGAACCAGATAATACAGTTTTTTTGTTGTTGTTCTGTTTTGACTATGAGTACTATGTACTTCAGGGTTTTATGGATTCTAGGAAACAGCTCACTTTACATTTGACTTCTTTTCACATTGTGTATACGCTGTTTATAAGGATATGTGCAAGTATGTAACTGTTATCTTCAGAGTTTTAAGGTCTGAAGAGAGAGGTCGCCAGTATGTGTGTTTGGACCCCATAGGTTTTTTCAAAGATTTGATGTGAATGCTTTTAGCCCCAGAATTTATTACGCTGGCTATTTCACCTTTTCAGCTACCTGACCTCTGCAGACATTAAATACATAATCTCTATTTTATGTTTTTTTCTTTCTCATGCACTTTTTTCCTTATTAAAAAAATAAAACCCAATTTGGCTGTTGTAAAAATGTCCAAACATATAAAAGTAGCAAGAATGATGTAGTGAATCCCTATTTACCTACCACCAGGTTCAGTAATTATCAGTAAATTTCTTCTCATCCCCTCTCAAACAGATTATTTTTAAAATAAATCTGAGACATAATTTCATCTGTAAGAACCTCAGTATGTATTTCTAAAAGTAAGAACTTTTCTTTTAAAAATAACCTTCATTGTAAAATGACTGTAACTCAATAAAAAAGTTAAAAAAAAACCTTGATACCATTAGCACATCAAAAAAGCATGAACAATAATTTTTAAATATCACCGAGTATTCAGACAGTGTTTAAATTTCCTTGATTTTTGAGAATCTAAAAAATGCTTTTTTCTTTTGATTTATTGAATCAGGGACCAAAGAATGGCTAGCTAGCCAGTTGGCTTCTTTCCTTCCTTCCTTCCTTCCTTCCTTCCTTCCTTCCTTCCTTCCTTCCTAAGACAGGGTTATTGAAGCATGACTTGCATACAGTAAAATTCACCCTTTATAGGTATACAAGTATATGAATTTTGACAAACATATACAGTCATATAACCACTATCACAATCAAGATATAAAATATTTCCATCATTCTAAAAAGTGGACTTGTGCCCCTTTCTGATTAATCCCTTACCTCTAACCCCCAGGCCCTGGCACTAAACCACTAAAGATTTGATTTCTGTCCCTGTACTGTTTGCTTTCTTCATATCACCGTATAAATGGAACCAAATAGTTTAACATTTTGTATCTGGCTTCTTTGAGCACAGGGGTTGGTAACTACCTGTGGGCCATATCAGTCTCCACTGCCTGTTGTGTGTAAAGTTTTATCAGAGCATAGCCACACTCGGGTTTACGTCTTGCCTATGACTGCTTTCACAGTGCAATGGCAGAGTTGCGTAGTTGTGACAGAGAATATATGGTCTGCAAAACCTAAAATATTTACCATGTTGCCCCTTTCACAGGAAAATTTTGTCAGTTTGTTGTAGCCTAATGCTTTTGAGATCCATCTGTCTGGTTGTATGTATTAGTAGTTTATTCATTTTTATTGCTGAGTAGCATTCCATTGTATGGCTAGATCACATTTTAAAAATTCCATAACCAATTGAAGGACTTTTGGTTTGTTTTAAGTTTTTGGCTACTATGAATAAAGCCAGTGTAAACAGTTGTGTACAGGTCTTTGTGTGGACATGTGTTTTCATTTGTCTTTGGTAAATAGCTAGGAGTGGGATTGCTGAGTCATGTGAAAAGTATATGCTCATCTTTATAAAACACTTCCAAACCATTTTCCAAAGTGGCTGGGCCATTTTGTGTTCCTCTGGCACTTGGTAGTATTGGTTTTTGTTTTTAAAACCATTCTAATAGATTTATAGTACTATCTCTTAGTGGTTTTAGTTTGTGCATCTCTAATAACTGATGATGTTGAACATCTTTTCATGTGTTTATTTGCTATCTTATTATTTGGGGCCCATTTTAAAGTTGGTTTGAATTTTTTAAATTGTGTTTTGAGAGTTCTTTATATATTCTGGGTACACATCATTTATCAGATAATTATTTTGCACATATTTTCTCCCAGTTTGTAACTTGTCTTTTCAGTCTTTCAACATTATCTTTTGAAGATCAGAGGTTTGTAATTTTGATGATCAATTTAACAATCTTTTCTTTTATGATTCATACTTTTTTATGTCCTTTCCAGGAAATCTTTGCCTATTCCAAGGTCACAAAAAATATCTTCTGTGTTTTCTTCTAGGAGTTTTGTAGTTTTAGGTTTTATATTTAGGTGTATGATCCATTTTGAGTTGGTTTGTTGGAAGGTATGAGGCGAGGTTCATTTTTTTAATGGATGTTCAATTGCTCCAGCAATATTTGTTGGAAAAGCTATAATTTATCCATAGAATTACTCTGGTACTTTTATCAAAAATCAATTGACCATGAATTATACACTTGAAAAAGGTGAATTATATGCAAAATACACATCAATAAAATTATTTAAAAAAATTCAATTGACCGTGTTCATATGGGTTTATTTCTAGAATCTCTTTTCTATTTTGTTGATTTATGTATCTCTCCTTTCACCAATAACACAGTCTTGATTACTGTATCTTTGTAGTAATTCTTGAAATCAGTTAGTAGGAGTCCTCCACCTTCATTCTTTCTCAGAATTGTTTTGGGCATTCTAGATGCTTTGCTCATCCATATAAATTTTATTTTATTTTTTTGCAGGGGAGATAATTAGGTTTATTTCTTTTTTTTGACGGGGTACTGGGGATTGAACCTCGTGCATGCTAGGCATGTGCTGAAGCACTTGAGCTATACCCTCTCCACCTTATCCATACAAATTTTAGAATCAACTTGTCAATTCTACCAAAAAAGTCTGCTGGGATTTTTATTGTGATTGTGTTGAATCTGTAGAATAAATTGAGGACAATTGATATTTTGACAACATCGAGTCTTCTGATTCATGACAATGTTACATTTCTTTATTTATATAAGTCTTCTTTAATTTCTCTCATCAAAATTTTATAATTTTTAACATATAATTCTTGCATATCCATTGTTAGATTTGTACCTAAATATTTCATGTTTGGGGGATGCTGTTATAAAAGATTCTTTTTGAAAATTCCAGTTTCCTGTTGTTCATTGCTTAGTGCATAGAAATCAGGTTTTTATGCTTTAACCTTGTATCCTGTGACCTTGCTAAACTCACATGTTAGTTCTAGTAGCTTTTTAGCCGATTCTTTGGGATTGTCTGTGTAGGTCCTCAAGTCTTTTGCAAATAAAAAACTTTTAGTTCTTCCATCTCAATATATATGCCATTTATGTCTTTCTCTTGCTTTATTGCACTAGCTGTAAGTTCAATGTAGAATAGTGGTGAGGGTGGACATCCTTGCCTTGTTTCTGGTCTGAGGGGGAAAGCATTCAAACCTGTAGGTTTTTCAGCAATGCCCTTTTGTCAGGTTGAGAACATTCCCTTCTATTCCTAGTTTATGGATAGTTTTATAGTATTGTGAATTGATGTTGAATTCTATCAGGTGCTCTTTTCCTCCTGATTCCATCTACTAAAATGATCTTACAAGGTTTTTCTCTTTAGTTTGTAGACAGCATGAATTACATTGATTTTTGAATGTTGAAAACCAGCATCACATGCTGGATTCTAATTGCTAATATTTCATTGAGTGTTTTTTGACATGGTATTCATGAGTTATAATGGAATGTAGTTTTCTTGTAATGACGTTTAGTCAGGGTAATGTTGGCTTCACACAATAAGAGTTGGGAAGTGTTCATTCCTCTTCTGTTTTCTGGTAAATTTTGTAATAGCTCTGATATTATTTCTTCCTTAATGTTTGGTAGAATTCACCAGTGAAGCCATCTGTGCTTGAGGTTTTCTTTATTGGACAGTTTTTAACTATGAATTTAATTTCTTTAATCGAGTGCTCTTAAGGTTATCCCTTTCTTCTTGAGGAAGCTTTGTTAGTTTTGTCTTTCAAGATGTCTGTTTTTTCAAGAATATATGTTTTTTCAATATATTCAGTCTTGTGCAACTATCACCATAATCACTTTTAGAATATTTTCATCTAAGTTATCAATTTCATTGGCATAAAATTGTTTATAAAATTCCCTTATGATCCTTTTAATATCTGTCAGGTCGATAGCTCTGTCATTTCTCATTTTGTGCCTTTCTTGTTTTCCTGACCAATCCAGCTAATGGTTTATCAGTTTTATCGATCTTTTCAAAGAAACAGCTTTGGTTTCATAGCTTTTCTCTGTTGTTTTCCTGATTTCAGTTTCATTGATTTCTGTTACTTTTTCCTTTCTTATGCCTGCTTTGGGTTTAATTTGCACTGTCCTTCTAGTTTCTTTAACTAGAAGCTTAGACTATTGATTATAAATTTTTGTTTTCTAATATAAGCATTTAAAGCTATCAGTTTCTCTCTGAGCATCCCCCTGCCATTTTTTTTCATCCCTTTCTTTTTAACTCTAATCTTTCACTTCATTCTACCTTCTGAAATAAATTGATACCAGGTAATGGTTTTTCTTAAAGGTATTATTTAATTAGAATTGATTATAGAGCTTGCAGTAATTGGGGTAAGTATGCATTGTCTTTCATACAACTGAAAATAACTTCCTTCAGTTGTTTTTTGTGTGTTGGGAGGGTTGTGGTGGGTGGTGTGGGAATGATTCTCTTGATTATTTTCTAAGTAGTTTTCTGTTTCTGGTTTGAAGTTATTCTTAAAATGTTTGCTGGGATGCTAAGACAATTTAATGGAGAAAGAATAGTTTTTTTCAGTAAATTGTGTTGGAACAACTGGATATCCACATGCAAGAGAATGAAGTTTGGCCTGTACCTTGCACCAAACAATTTTGAGAATTAAGCCAAAATGTATAAAAAACCTGGGTATAAGAGCTAAAACTAGAAAACTCTTGGAAGAAAACATAGGCATAAAACTTCTTAATTTTGGATTAGGCCAGATTTTCTTAGATATGACACCAACAGTACAAGCAACAAAAGAAAAAAGTAGATAAATAAAAAGCAAACTTTTGTGCTACAAAGGACACCAACAAGAAAGTGACATGACGACCCACAGAACAGGAGAAAATTCTGCATATTATATATCAGAGAGTAGATTTGCATCTAGAATATAAAGAACTCAGCAATAAAAACACAACCTAGTTAAAAAATGGGCAAAGGATCTGAATAGACATTATTCAAAGAAAATATATAAATGGCCAGTAAGCACATGAACTGATGCTCAACATCATTAACCATAGGGAAATGCAAACCAAAACCATGAGATAGCACTTCCCACTCACTAGGATGGCTATAATTAAAAAGACAGAGAATAAGAACTATTGGCAATGAAATCCTAGTGAGCATGTAAAATGGTGCAACTACTTGGGGAAAAAGTCTGGCAGTTCCTCAAAAGATTTTAAAAAGATGTGGTATATCCATACAATGGACTATTACTTGGCAATAAGAAGAATGAAGTACTGGTATAGACTGCGTTGGGGATGAACTTTGGAAATATTCTGCTACATGAAACAAGCCAGAAACAAAAGACCATATATTGTATTATTTCAGTTATATGAAAAGTCATATAAATGACAAAATAGGCACACCTAGAGAGAGACAGAGTAAATCAGCGGTTGTCTAGGGCTGGGAGTTGGGTGGCAGAGGGGGAATGGGAGTGACTGCTGATGAGTTCAGGGTTTCTTTTTGGGGTGATGAAAATGTTCCAAAAGCAATTATGGTGATGGTTACTCAACTCTGAATATACTAAAACGTTCAACTGTACACTTAAAACAGGTGAATTATATGTGACTTATGTTATTATGTCTTTTGGTGTATATGTGCAATGGAATTGTTAATATGTGATATAGACATTTCAATACACCTTGATTCTTACAATGGAAAAGACTATATAAGTTATATAAAACCTAAATGACTGTGTTTAAAGGGATCAAGATCACAGCATTTGAAGTATTTGCATTGTGTTTTTTTTTAACATGTGTTTTAAAATTTTATAATAATGTAAAGTCTAGAAACTGGAAGTGGGAAACATCACCTGCCAAGTATCTGTCTTATCCATGTATTTTTTTTGGTATGATTGTAATTATAGTACTTAAGATTTATTTCCTGCTATTTTACCATCATGCACATTTTACTGTATGTATGAGGCATTATAGATTTCTTCTTTATATCAGTATTAATAGCTGCATATTACTTCCATCAGGTAGATAGACCATTATTTTCTTAACCATTCTCTTCTTGTTGAAAGCTTAGATTGTTTCCAGTGTTTCATTATAAGTAATGTGATAAACATGTGTGGGACTATGATTCTCACCAGGGATAGCCAAAAGAAAGCACCACAGCAGCAGCCTGGAAACAATTACAAACCCTTCTTGATCTATTAGAGAAATTAACTATTCACTGCCTGATTTGTATTAGACACTGTGGTATGTGCTTTGCATGTATTCCCATGTAATCCTCAAATAATTAGTGAAATGAGCAGTATACTTATTGTTATACTTGCCTAGTTGCATTATAATTATCTATTTGTATCCATCTTCTAAGAATTACATTTTATTTTTGAATCTTCAGGGTCTACTTTAGTTCCTGGCACATAGTGAGGCTCAATAGATATTATCTATTGAAATGAAAGTTTAAAAGCTTTGCCTAGAGGCATCCCTGGCCTTACCATTCAAAATTCTCTTCTTTGCTACCTTTGTTTCCTGAAGCATGGTTTATAGCTCTCTGAAGTAGGCAGTAAACTGATTTCAAAGTTGTGCCCTGAAAGGTACTATTTAGAAATCTCTGATTTTAATTTTTCTATGTTTTTTTTTGTCAGTTATTTCTGCCGAAAATGTTGTGCCCGGAGGAAATTCTCACTGGATTTTTGCTCATCACTGAAATGAATGTTTGTTTGAAATTAGTATATGTTATTTATTCACTTGAAGTTTAGTTCATTTCCCTGGTTATTTGGAATATTCACAGTAATGTACATGGGAACCACTCTGTAGCTTCCTTCAGAGGAGTAAAGAACTATTAATAACCTACAGAACTGGAGAGAGACTACCTAAATGCCCACGAAGCGTTCTAGAGTTTGCTCGTCCTTCCCCTCCGAATTTCTGTAGCACTTACTAACAGTTCTATTCATTTTGAACTAGTTTGCTTTTGCCTTTGTGCTTTGCCATAAACATTCCCATATGCACCATATATTATTAAAAGTTCTCTACCTCATTTAAAAAAAATCTGTGGTTTCATAAAATTTGAAAACCCTTATTTTTGCATACTTGGAGTATTCTTTGAGTGACAAATTTAAAATGTAAGGTTATGGATAGCTTAAAACACACATGTAATTTTTTTATACCCAGGCTGGAAAAAGTGTAAAGTTTTAAAACACCATGTAGTGAGACCAAACTCTTAAACTAGAATATAAAGGGAAGCCTGCTTAAAGTTCTTTTCTTCTACTGCTGCATTAGTTGACATGAGAAGTATATCACACTGGGCCATTTGAGGAGTGTCCATAACTCAGTCTTATTTTGGTGATTCTCATCTGCCAGAGAGGAATAAGAATTGTTAACATGAAATACAGCAATTTTCTATATATACTGGTAGGAAGATACTGTTAATTTATTGTGACAAAGTGTCAGTTCTGTCAATTCTTGCAGTTATACTGAAGTCACAATGTCTTAATCTTAGCTTTCCGAAATGTGCCCCTGCAACTACTGCTCTACCTATGGAATATCTTATTTTGAAAGTTCATATTTTTTTATTTTTGTGAAAAATATATACCTATGGCACACTAAGAAAACTTTTATTCTGGTATTCTGTAGTTCAGTAGAATTCAACACCCTATGCAACATGTGTGTACAACATTTTGCCCTTACAGGTATTTTTAAAGGTTATAATTTGAATTTTAGTAAATGACAATATATTTTTTGATTGCTTTACTATAAGCAAATGCTTTACTAACACTGTTGCTAGTGTCTTCCTTATAGTTCAGCTGTTTGTTTCAAGCCTAACTTTCCTAACTTTGTAACAGGTTAATGATATATATATACATACATATACATACATATATATACACACACATATATATACATACACACACACACATAAATATATGTATATTTAAAGTCCCCTGGGGAACTACTGTAAGGTCTATGGTGATGTTTCTTTTTTTGTAATGGCATTAAATTCTATCAATAAATAAGTATAATAATTTTCTCATTTTGTTTTGAAAGCTGTCACCTGTAGATTATTATTGGAAATTTACAATTGCAGTTATAATTGTCTTTACGACACTTTAAGTACGATTTTAACGTGTTAAATTCTTTTTCCTTTCTTAAGGTATGGCTGATGGCAAGCATTGTACTTTTCCACACCTGCCTGGCAAAACCTTTGTCTATAATGCTTCTGAAGATAGACTGGAGTTGTGTGTGGATGCTGCAGGACATTTCCCCATCGGTCCTGATGTTGAAGATTTAGTTAAAGAGGCTGTAAGTCAGGTTCGAGCAGAGGCTACTACAAGAAGTAGGGAATCAAGTCCCTCACATGGGTTATTGAAACTAGGTAGTGGTGGAGTAGTGAAAAAGAAGTCCGAGCAGCTTCACAATGTAACTGCCTTTCAGGGAAAAGGGCATTCTCTAGGAACTGCCTCCAGTGCCCCACACCTTGATCCAAGAGCTAGGGAAGCTCCAGTCGGAAGGAAGCATACCCCAGGGACAGACTTCAGTAGTAGTTCCATTAAAACAGAGCCTTCTGTATTCACAGCTGCTCCTAGTAACAGTGAGCTTATTCGAATAGCTCCTGGGGTAGTTACAATGAGAGACAGCAGGCAGCTTGATCCGGATGTGGTTGAGGCCCAGCGAAAAAAGTTGCAGGAAATGGTTTCTTCTATTCAGGCATCGATGGACAAGCACTTACGGGATCAAAGTACAGAGCAGTCACCATCTGATCTTCCTCAAAGGAAAGTAGAAGTTATGAGTTCTTCTGTGAAGTCTGGGGGTCTTCAGACTGGCTTACCCGAATCTTTTTCTCTAACTAGTGGCACTGAAAATTTGAGTACGGAAACAACTGATAGCTCTGTGGCAGAGGCACTGGGAGCAACATTTGCCACAAGGTCGAAAGCACAAAAGGGAAGTTCCGTGGAGGAGCCTGAAGAGATGGATAGTCAGGATGCTGAGATGACAAACACAACTGAGCCAATGGATCACTCTTGATTTACTTAGAGGCTAATAAAGGCAGGATGTTTATTGTGAATATGTAATTTTTGTTGGCTGGGCCACATAACTTGATTAGTCATTAAAAATCTTGTACGTATATAATTCAAAGATTTATCTTGTTATTCAGTGCATGATAGCAAGTGTGTGATTGGCAATAGCTTTTAATATACTGCTGCCCAGGCTGGCTCTGAATTCCTGTAAATTAGTTATTAGATCTGCTGAGATGACTTTCTTCCATATATGTGGTTCATTGGAAGTTCTTTGTAATTTTAATTCCATGAAAGTCTTAATGTTTCAAATATGAAAATTCTCTTGCTAAATATGTTTGATTTCTGAGAAGACTACAACTGGGGGGAAATAAGATTTTGCTAATGTTGATGTCATCAAGGTAACCATTCCACATATTTATTAGTGTGTCAAAGGATTTATGTAAATTTGAAGGTTATCTGAATGAAACTGTACCTTGAAATTCATAAAAGGATATATTAGACACTGGGATCCTGACATTTCTGTGAACGTAAACACATTTACAGAGGTATGTATTCTTGGTGAAAATATCTTGAGAATGGAGTGTAATGATATAACATTTTGCTGATTTGAGCAAAGTTAGGAGAAAATATCTATTCTAGAATGATAAAGTCAATGTGATTCAGTAATGTTGCTGTCCAAGCCAACACAGCCAATTGTGTGCTCTGTTGTTAATAATATTTACCATTATTTTGAATCCTGGCCTAGTCAATTACCACCAATTTTTTGTTCTTTAATCTTGCAGAAAAGTTGATTGCAAAGTGAAGTAGAAAATAATAAAAATAATGGTAGCAGCACAGTAGTTAATCTCTAATTTTCAGAGTTTTGTCAGATTCACAGAGAATTTATAAATAAGAATTTATCTTTATGAATGAGTTACATTGTTCTACGATTTTGATCAGTGGTATTTAAGCTTCTATATGCTGAGTGTCTTTGAGCCCCTTTGAACCAAAAAATCGTTTCCTTTTTTAGAATTTATAAGATTTTCTTCATTTGTTGGCTTCACTTGGATTTGGATGCAAATCTTACTGCATCATACCCTGGTCAACTGGGCATTTGCTGAAATAGTGTATTCATCAAATCTTTAGTGCCAGTTTCCTCAAGAAGCAGCTTTCATGCTTATTCCTTAAAGACAAAGAATGCTTATCTTGAGATTGGTATTGCACTATTTTATCCTATTCTGCAAATCTATATTCTGAAATGTACACTTTAATCCATCTTTTCCCTCTGTTCACTAAAATTAAGTGGAATCTGAATGGATGAAAGACAAAATGTATGTTAATACAGTCTCTTATCTAGAGCATTCAAAGCCTGGCTCTCTCTGTTTGCTTGTGTAACAGATGCAGAACTGTTTGCCTTTTTAAGAAAATGTACATCAGAAAGTATATCACCAGGTATTTAAAAATCTTAACCTGTTGATTCATGAGGACTATAGACAATACTTTAACTTGTGTTTCCAGATAAGAGAGGTTTAGGGGTTTCTTTCTATGAAAGTATCTCTGACTGAATCCACCCTTACTGAACGAACTGCTCCATTTTGAATAGGGAAAGAAGGGATATCCCAAGATGTTGCAGGTGATGTCTGAGCAAGATACATATTTGGGTTTTATCACATTACCACATTTTTTAAACCATATTTTTATCTCCATTCTTCTAGATTTCTTTCGTGTACATTTCTCTAGGTCTATAAATAGAAGGAAAATTTAGAACTTTCATATTGTGCACTAGTTTTGCATAAAGAACTGCAGCTGCCAAATAATATTTCCCATTTAGTTAGTATAGGTGATGTCTGTGTATTCAATTAAAAATGACAAATATCACTAACCACTATAATTATTTTTGGCTTTTTTCAGCCATTGAAACATCTCACCCACATACACTTTTTTTAAATACAGGAAAACTATTTAATGAGGGAATGCACTGCTTCCAGGTAAACGATATAATCACCTTTTCTTTAACAAATATTTTCTTCACCTGTGGCTTGGTGT